TTGTGTTTCGGTTCCACTTACAGTAAGTGTTCGATGTATGTGATTTTATATGGTACAGAGAGAGAGAGAGAGAGAGAGAGAGAGAGATTTGAGCAACGGTGAAAGAGAGATAAAAGTAAAGCAACGTTGAAAGAGAGAGAGAGAGAGGTAATTAGAGCAACGAAAGAGAGAGAAAAAATAAAGCAAAAGAGAGAGAGAGAAGAACGAAAAGAGAGAGTAGAGAGAGAGAGAGAGACAAGTAAAGCAAAGGCGAAAGAGAGAGAGAAGGGGGGAAATTAAGCAAAGGCGAAAGAGAGAGAGAAAGTGAGAGAGTGAAACCTACAGCAAGATAGAGAAAGATAGAAAAAAAGAGAGAGAGAGAGAGAGAGAGAATGAAAGCAACAGCAAGAGATATTATTATTCTAAGATCCAAATCAGTGTTTTTTTTAACCTTTACAGTCCGAGTGTTATTAATAGAATTCCCTCCCGGATATTAAAGAAAATCATAGACATATTTTTAATCTTTTTACTGATTATGAATTAATCACATTATCAAACTTCTTGATATTTAGCTCTCTTTAAGAGAATAACTAATGAAATGAGAGAAATTTCAACTTTATACCAAATGAATGGGAGAAATTAAAAAGAAATAGATAGAAGGGAATTCCGAAGGAGGAGGAGAAAATGAGATAAGAAGATGAGGTGCAAGAAACACGGGAAGACGACGAAGAAAGAGAGAGAAAAAAAATGACTAGTTGGTGCACAGAAGTAGAGCAAAAGAGTGTGATAACGAATAAAGAGACAAAAAAATAAGATGAAGAAAATGGCGCAAAAGAGAATGGAGAGAAGAAGAAGACGAAGACAAAAAATGTCTTTGAATAGGAATATGTCGTGGTTATCTTTTTGATTTCTCTCAGATTCTGAATATATATAGTTCATATCAGCTTAGTAATCATAATCATAGCCATGTAAGTATATATAGAATGAAACATCAAACTTTCTTTCCAATTCCATTTCCTAATCAAAGTTTAGTATGGGTGATTCAAACAAAGCAAATTTCTGATAAATTAAATAGTTTATCCGTAATAAATAAAGTAGTGAAAGAAAACGAAAACATATTTCCTTCATAGAAAACGTAAAATCAACAGGGGGACATTTATTTTTTTTCACCAACGATTTATAACTAGGAAAGTGTACCAAGACACTGACGAAAATGAAAGACAACAATGAAAAAAACATTTGTAGAAGAAAAGATAACCTAAATTAAGCCGCGGAAACTCCCCATGAGAGCTACCGGGGAAATTGCAGGGTAAGATATGAGCAAAAACCAGCAAATACGTAATTATAGTAATAATACACAATGAATAAGTCACCCCTGCCATGGAAGACAAAAAGTTACATTATTTCAATATTTCTCCTAAAATGAAGGCTTTTGCAGTATTATTTATCCAGATCTACAATCTTTACGTTCATCATCATTATTTTTTTTTTTAGTTTCATCGTCACAACTGTTATCATCATTATTGCTATCATTATCATTTTATTACTGTTATCATCATTATTGTTATCATTATTATTGTGATTATCAATATTACTGTTATCATCATTATTGTTATTATTGTGAGTATAGTATTAATGTTATCATCATTATCGTTATCATTGTTATTATCATTATCATTATTATTAGTATCAATATTATAATTATTGTTATCATTATTATTTTTATCATTATTGTTATTATTGGTATTATTATCACTATTATTATCATCATTATCATTATCATCATCATTATTTTTTTATTACTGCTACTATTACTATTACCATTATTGTAATTACTATCATTATTACTTTTGTTGTCATTATCACTATCAGTATCTTTATTATTATCATCAACATCATCATCATTATCATTATCATTATTATTGTTGTTGCTGCTGTTGCTATTATTACTATAATTATTATTATCATTATCACCATTATTAATGATATAACTTTTTATTATTATTTCCATTATTACTTTTATTACTATAATCACTGCTATCACTATCAGTCTTATTAATATCATTATCATTTTAATTATTCTAATTCTCATTATCAGTACTATTTTTATTCTTATTGCTATTATCATTACCATCATTACTATCATAATCATCATCATTATCATTATCATCATCATCATCATCGGCCAAGAACTATTTTCCAAACAATTAATACCGTGAATATTTAATCATATCTCCAGAAAAGGATAAGATAAATAAAATAAAATAATAAATATAAATAATAAAAATAAATAAAAAATAAGATAGCTTATCATTCAGCGCCATTCAAAGAGTTGCCACGAGTAATATTTTCCTCGAATTATTGCCATTGGAGGAGACACAGGGAAAAAATATATACAATATATTGTAGCGAGATCTTTTTATATTCATTTTATGCCTTGGGAATTGGTTGCTAAGTTATAGCTATATCTATTTATCTATCTGACTGTATGTCTATCTGTCAATTATATATACATCTATATACATATATCGAGATATATATGTACACATATATATATACACACACAAACACTCACTCACACACACATACACCCACCCACACACACACACACTCGTACACACAGACACATACATGTGTGTGTGTGTGTGTGTGTATATATATATATATATATATATATATATATATATATATATATATATAATATATATATATATATAATATATATATATATTATATATATATGTGTGTGTGTGTGTGTGTGTGTTGTGTGTGTGTGTGTGTGTGTGTGTGTGTGTTTGTATACATATATACATATGTATAGGTATATTCATATATTTATATATGTATATACACATATATATATATTATATACCTATATATATATTTTAAAATATATATAATATATATATATATATATATATATATATATATATATATATAGATAGATAGTAATACATAGATAGATACATAGATGGATAGATAGATAGATATATACATATGTATAGATACACAACACACACACACACACACACACACACACACACACACACACATAATATATTATATATTATATATATATATATATATATATATATATATACATATATATATATATATATATATATATATATATATATATA